TGCATGGTAAGAATGCTTTTGATGTTTACTCAGCATATTTTGGGACCACAACACTTACTGTTATTCTTGATAATTTTACTTGATAGTTTAACTAGTTCTAGTTATAATAGTTTTCTCTCAGTATTCTGAAATTATTCCATTGTCACCATTTCCTTTGTATTTGAAGGCAGCTGCTATCTCTGGAATGACTCCCTTTTTCTCTTTGCTGCTTTTATCTTTTTGCCTGTTCTGGCTGTGGTTTTACTGTAAGGCCTTCTAGATGTGTTTTTGTATTTGTCCTTCTGGTCTGCATTGTACATCTTATATTGGTAATTTTTCTGCTCTGAAATTTTCTGCCATGGACTCTTTGAATATTACCTTTGTTCTCTTTTTCTGGGACTTGATCTTCTATTTACTAAATTTCACTTCATTTGTGTGTAATCTGCTGTTAAGTCATTGACGTTTTCATTTCCATTATTATGTTTTTCATTTCCAAAAGTCTTATCTCATTTTCTTTTAGATAAGGTTGGTCATTTGATAGATTCTTATTCTTAATTTTTTTTTGTTTGTGTCTCCTTCATTCTTTGGGCATATTCATTATACTTTATACCCTGTGGCTGATAAATCTAGTATCTTGTCTTTGGGAATCTAAATCTACTGACGCTGAATGTTTTCCCTGAGTTTGAAGATTTTATTTTGTAAACTCATACTTAGTTGAACCTGTGGGAACCCAGAGGTTCTAAGTTGGACATGTTCCCTGTGAGAGGTTTTGCATGCACTTCTACAGGCCAGCAACTGCCCCTGGGATGTTTCAGCTCTCTCTTCCTAATTCAGGTGCTCAGGTGTAACTCCTCGCCTTGGAGGTGTCCTAGTTTTCCTGAGAATTCAGTAAAGCATTTAAAATGTGTCTTATTGCTTACCCAAGAATTAATGGTAATTAATAGGACAGCCCTTCATGTTATCTAGTTTTTCATATGCCCAAGAGCAGAACATTGCTTCTACCACCTAGATCCAAAAGTGGGGGCAGTTTTATCTTAACATTCATCTCCCTTTCTCTATGTATCAAAGACCCATCTGTAAACTTTGAGTATCTTAGTAGACCTTAGCAGAATGGTCTAGATATTTCTCATACCTGAAACTTTGAGTAAATTTAGGAGTTTGTAAAAGGATAATTCATGAAATGTAAGATCGCTTATCATAGATGTTTCGATCACTCCTACCCTCGATGTCTCAAGTACCAGTTATTTTATACACACAGTCCTTGGTACATTGATGTATGTTAATCCCTTTATAAATATGACTCCCGTGTACTGATGTAGGTTCAGAAAAGAATTGCTTGCTTGAAACTTTGCAACCTTTCTTTAAAAAAAAAAAAGTTTCTGTTTTGGCCTCTGGCCAAAGGTAATAACATTTTTACCTGGCCATAAATTCCCCAATTTCCCCCGAGTGGGCAAACAATGGTCCTTTTTCCTGCCTGGAAACCAGAGCTCGGGTTGACGGACACAGGGGCTGTTTGTGTTACCTTCTAACACAGGGCCGCAGCTTTCCTTCTCTTTGTTTCTCATGCAGTGCTAGTTCTAGTTATAATAGTTTTCTCTCAGTATTCTGAAAGTCATCTTTACTTTGAGGTAAAATGTATATGACACTCACATACTGTATTTACAGCTTATGACTTAGTAAACATACGGAGTTGTGCCAACATCATGATAATCCAGATTTCGGACGTTTTCATCCTCCCTTCAGCCTTCTCAGGAGAGATGAAGGATGAAGCATGAAGGATGGACCTGACCATGGCTGACTGACTCCTCCAGCCTCATTGGGGCCAGAGGAAGAAGGCCAGACCTGCTCGTCTGTCTCCACTTTGCCCCTCCCTGCAACCATCTATGTGCTTTCTCCCCATAAACGTGCCCTTTTGGGCATTTCATAAGTGAAATCATACTCTCTGTCTTTTGCATCTGGCTGCTTTCACTTAACATCATGTTTGGAGGCTCCTTTTCATCCATACTGTAGTAGTTTTATTGCCGAATAGTATTCCAGTGTGTGCATAAACCACGTTTTGTTTATGCATTCACCAGGTGGTCACTTGGATTGTGTCCAGTCTGGGGCTGTTATGCTGCCATGAATGTTCATGGACATGTCTCAGTGTGAACACGTTTTCATTTATCTGGGGTGGGTTCGTGCAAGTGGGCTTGCTGGGCTGTAACAGACTTGTAAAGGAAACACCAAAGTTATCCACAGTGGCTATGTATATTATATTCCTAGCGGTACACGAGGAGGTTTCCGGTTTCTCTTCATTCTCTCCAATGCTTCCTTCTTTTCCATTGACTTGCTCCTGGGTATGAAGTGGTAGCTTTACTGTCGTTAAATCATTGCATTTCCTGCAGTCTTTTTTTTTTCCAGAAGGGAACGGTTGCTCTCTAGTGGTGCGTTCTGCACATTACATTTGGAATAAGGGCACTAATGAGAAGCCTGAAGCCAAAACTTGTTAAATTTTTACATTCCTTTCCCGTTGTGCCTGCACTGGTTAGCACACGGAGTGCAATTTGAGGCCTGGGCTCAAAATAATTTCCTTATTACCACCGTTAATAACCCGCAGAAGCTGGCTTTTATTGAATCCCTGAAGGCGCATTATATCCAAACTAAGCTCGTGTGCCTTAGATCTCCTCCTCCTCCTGCGCTTAGATCTTTGGGCGTGAGGGTCACACTTGCGAAGGGGCTCATGCCTGTGAAGGAAGGGAGGACAAGGCCAGAGACAGCTGTGTTCACTCACACTTACTCCGTCCTTTCAAACCAGAACCGGAGGAGTAAGTAGTTCTTACTGGAGGAATTGGATGTGAAGTCTTTTTTTTTTTTTTTAAATGAATTGCACACACGTGGGATGTCTGGTGGCTCTTTGGTATTCTGAGCTAACACTTTGTAAAGATACCTGGAAAGAGATGAGATTTAGGAGAGTTGGCTCTCAGCTGCCCCCAGGCTCTGCTGCAATAGAGAGAGCACAGGGCACATGAGAAACGGTGACGAACGGGAGCTCCGGAAGGAACCCCGCCAGGGGTGTACGCCTTGAGGAAGCAAAAGAGATGTGGCTTCAGGAAATGGGGGTAGTGACATCAAATGTGTAGTGGTTTAAAAGAAGAATTTACAAGTTTTGCTTTAAACAGGATGTCGCACTTCTTTTTTAGAAAGTGGAGAGAACATACATGTGTGATGTTTTCCTGACTTCCTGTGTCTCAGTGCAATGCATTTACCATCCTGACATAGGTCTATAAAATGGTCATGTACGTATGTGTATGTGCCCATACACAAAATACATATGCACACATGCAAATGCGTGAGCACCAATAGTAGAAAGCATGAAGGATGGACCTGACCATGGCTGATTGTTCCAGTCATGTGGGGGCCAGAGGAAGAAGGCCGAACCAGCCATCTCTATTTCGTTTTGGTAGACAGCAACTCTACTCCATTATAAATATGGATCAGTCCACTTGCTAGCAGTTGGGGTGGTTAGAGAGGGATAAGGTTTGAATAGGAGAAAGTTGATTCAACTTCAGCATAAGCATGGGTATGGAGAGGGGAAATGGAATTATTCTAAGACTAGTGGCCCAGTGCACAAAATTTGTGCACATTAAAGGGGAAGGAATTAGAGGAAATATTTTAATACTGCTATTTGCCCTTCCTCTATAATAGTGTCAGAGATGAAAGAAAATTAGTAAAATGTATTGAATATATGAAAATCTCCCTCCTGTCAGAGTCTGGGGTTCACCATGGGACCTAAAGCCAAGTCCCCTCCCACCACCCACATGCGCTTTAAAAACACAGGAGACCCAGACAAGGCTGCCTCCAGTCCCATTGGATGAGAACCAGATCGGGCCGGCCCCGCCCCCGTCAAGCCCCTCTGGGTAGAGAGCACAGCCTCAGGTCCCCCAGCCCAGTGCCAGGGCAGGGGGCACTGCCTGAGGTCCCCCATCAAGCCCTGCTGGGTGGGGGGCACGGCCTGAGATCCCCTGGCCTGGCGCCTGGCTGAGGGGGCATGGCCTGAGGGGGCGTGGCCTGAGATGCCCTGGCCTGGCGCCGGGCTGAGGGGCGTGGCCCGAGGGGGCGTGGCCTGAGGTCCCCTGGCCTGGCCAGGCGCCATGCAGCCTCAGGTCCCTGTTGTTTGGTCATGATGTTACGACGTCCTGGCTAATTTGCATATTTGTCTATTATATAGATTAATATAATTTTCAACATGGATCAGAACTTTTTAAATGTTGCTATAAGAAACATTGCTTTTTAAGGTATAGGAAGAGATTTTTATTAATCCGGTGATTTTGCCATTGTTGCCAAAACAATTTAGGAAGATGTTGGAATTATTTAATAGGGACAAATTTCATCCTGTTTTGGAAGCAAGTCTGGTAAGTTATGTAAATGGACAGTATTGTTCACCTCTCCTCAGAGACACTACCTTAAAGTAAGTACGGAGTCCATGCTTGTCCGTCCAGTTCTGCAGATTTGAAGACAGTGTTATAAATTTGTTTGGAATAACGGATGGCAACAAATGCTCAGAACCCCTCCTGCCTGCCCCAGATGATGATTTTAAAAGAGGGTGGTCTGATTAGAAAGGTCTGTGTATCACTAACGTATCATATTTAACGGAAATGTCAGCCCGCTGATATTTTTACTACATAGGCTTGAGGAGACCATACATCCCAGGCATTTCCTCTATAGCACCAGGCACTCGGGTGACTTGCACAAGGTAGGAGCGGTTGCTGTTTTGGTTTCTGATTGGTCGTGTCGCCTGCACTCTTGTGAAAGTGACAAGCGTCCAGCCGGACCAAGTACCATTCAGCCTGCCGAGTCACTGGCTTCTGAGTTAAGGTTTTGTTGTAACCCTCTACTCACTAACTCAGAGGAGGATCCTGGGGGAATTCGTGCTATTGTCCATTTTAACTTTGAGAATTTAACCTTTAAAGTTTACCTTGTTCATGACTTTAAAAATTTTGTTTTATGCTATTTTCTTTAAAAGGTTTATGAATGTTTCCATAAAGATCCTACGCAGACTGATGTCAAATACAGTAGGTCCTCGGGTTACATTGGACAACGGTTCCCACAGCATGACATAACGTGATTTTCACTGTAAATCGGACTCACCTACGTCACTCATATGAAACACACACACAGCATGATGCAGTGAAACGGTAAAAAAAAATTTAAAAGATAAAAATTCCTGACCTTTACTTGTGGTAAATAAATAATAAAAAACATAAAAGCACATATGTACATACATAAAAAAGATGGAACTTTTTAAAAAAAATAAATAAATGGAAGATGGAGACGTAACCACGAAATAGCATATATCAAGTCCGACGTAACCCGAGGACTGCCTCTAGTTCACTGCCTGTGTTTTCTAGAAGTTTTATGCTTTCAGGCCTTACATTTATGTCTTTAACCCATTTCAGTTTATTTTTGTATGTGGTATAAGTGAGTGATCCAGTTTTCCCACAACAGCACTTGTTGAAGTGACTGTCATTGCTCCATTGTATATTTTTGCCTCCTTTGTTGTAGATCAGTTGGCCGTATCAGTGAGGGTTTATTTCTGGGCTTTCTATTCTGTTTCATTGATATATTAGAGCACATGTGTCAAACACAAGGCCCGCGGGCCAAATCCGTCCCGCCAGGCCTTGCAATGTGGCCCGCACCACGCTGTCATCACTGCACTCCGCTGCGTTTCCATCACAATGACAGTTTATGACTGTTCAGTAAATCATTCGGCCCGCGATTTAGGCTGGATTTTAGATTTTGGCCCCTTCTCTGATTGAGTTCGACACCCCTATATTAGAGGCTCGGTGCATGGATTCGTACACCAGTGGGGTCCCTCAGCCTGGCCTATGCCCTCTCATAATCTGGGACTCCTCAGGAGTGATCAGGCCAGCAGAAGGGGCATTTGGGGGTGACCAGGTCAGCAGAAGGTCAGTTGGGGGTGACCAGGCTGGCAGAAAGAGGTGGTTAGGGGTGATCAGGTTGGCAGGAGGGGTAGTTAAGGGTGATCAGGCAGGCAGGTGAGCAGTTAGGAGCCAGCAGCCCTGGATTGTGAGGAGGTTCCATATTGGAGAGGGTGCAGGCTGGGCTGAGGGACCCCACAAATTTCATGCACCAAGCCTCTAGTATTGAATAATAGTGGTGAGAGTGGGCATTCTGTCTAGTTCCTGATCTTTGGAGGGAAATCTTTCAGCTTTTCACTAGTGAGTATGTTAGCCATGGGCTTGTCAAACATGTGTAGCCCTTTTCAAGTCAAGGTTAAGTTCCTTCTATACCCATTTTGTTGAAAGTTTTAAAAATCATCAATGGATGATCTTTGTCAAATGCTTTTTCTGTATCTATTGAGGTAATCATGTAATTTTATCCTGTTTTGTTGAATCACATTGTTTTTGCAGATGTTGAACTATGTTTGCATCCCTGGTATAAATCCCACTTGATCATGGTGTGTAATCCTTTTAATGTACTGTTGAATTCTGTTTGCTTTTTTTTTTTTTTTTTTTTTTTTAAAGATACTGGTATTTATGTTCATTAGGCATAACAGCCTGTAATTCTCTTTTTGTGTAATGTCTTTGGTTTTTATATCAGGGTTTTGCTGGACACACAGAATGGGTTTGGAAGTGTCCCTTTTCAACTTTTTGGAATAGTTTGAGAATATAAATATTTAAATTCCTCTTTAAATGTTTGTGGTAGAACTCACCTGTGAAGCCATCTGGTCCTGGGTTTTAATATTTTTTTTTTTTTAACTTTTAGTTATTTACACTATTACAGATGTCCCATTCCCCGCCCTCCTTTGCCCACCTCCACTCAACCCCACCCCCAGTCATCACCATACTTGTCTATGGGTTTTGATTATTGCTTCAATTTCATTGCTAGTACAATACTTTGTTCAGATTCTTAGTTTCTTACTAATTTAGTCTTGGAAGGTTGTGAGTTTCTAGAAATTCATCCATTTCTTCCAGATTGTCCATATAATTCATAGTATTCTTTAGTGATTTTTTTGTGTTCCTGTTAATTATAATCTCCTCTTTATTTGATTTTTATGTTCTCTTTTTTGCTTGATGAGTCTTGCTAAAGGCTTGTCAGTTTTATTTATTCTTTCAAGGAGCCAGCTCAGTTTCATTCATCTTTCCTTCTATTTACTTTGGGTTTTGATTATTCCTCTTTTTCTATTTTTTTTATGTGTACCTTTAGATTATTTGGTATTTGTTCCTGTTTCTCCCCCCCCCCCCCCCCCATCACTCAGCTGCCTCAGACTGAGCCCCCAGAGCATGCACCCAGTGTCTCTAGGCATGAGGTCTTTGCTGGGAGGAGATGGCATTTTTTTTTTTTTTTTTGTAAGCCTCACCCAAGAATATTTTTCCATTGATTTTTACAGAGTGGAAGGGCAGGGGAGAGACTGAGAGACACATCGATTGGTTGCCTCCCACCCGTGCCCTGACCAGGGCTGGAGATTGAGCCTGCAACCACAGTATGTGTCCTTGTCCAGAATCGAACCAGGACCCTTCAGTCAGCAGGCCAGTGCTCTATCCACTGAGACAAACGGGCTAGAGAAGGAGATGACACTTTTGAACATATTTTTTATTACATCTGTTCAATTTCCATATTCATGGTTGAAGAGAATGTTTATATTGGACACTGGGGGAAAGACATTTCTCTGATGGCTTAGTTTGGGAAACTGCTGTAACCAAGTGCCCTCGGTAGGGCATTTAAACACAGGACATTTATTTTTCAGTCTTAGAGGCTGGGGGGTCGGAGATCAGGTGCTGACATGGTCAGGTGCGGGGAGGGGTGGGAGAGGGGGTTGGGCAAGGAGCCCTCTGGGTCATCTCTGGCTCTTCTTATAAAGGACACAAAACTTATCATGGAGCTCCACCTGCATGATCACATCCCAAAGATCACACTTTCTAAGACCATCCTATTGGTGTCACATACGGATTTGGGGAGACACAAACATATAACACGTGGGTTTTTAAAGTTTATATAAACACTGCTTATAGCACAAAGTCTCAAGCTCTTTGGGTTTCTCGATCTCTCCTAACCTGAGCCCTACCTATTGGAAGGCACTTTCCATTGCTTTCAACCAAAGGGAAATCTGAAAATACCCTGAGACCAATGACGATGAAAACACAGCATAGCAAAACATAGAGGATGCAGTGAGCGCAGTGCTGAGAGGGTTATTTATAACTATGAGTGCACACACCAAGGAAGATCTCAGATCAATAACCTAACTAGATCTTTAGGAAGTAGAAGAGGAGCAAGCTAAATTCAAAGCAAGTCAAAACCAGTTTGGCTCAGTGGATAGAGCGTCGGCCTGTGGACTGAAGGGTCCGGGTTTGATTCCGGACAAGGGCATGTAAATTAGTTGCGGGCACATCCCCAGTAGGGGGTGTGCAAGAGGCAGCTAATCGATGATTCTCTCTCATTGATGTTTCTAACTCTCTATCCCTCTCTCTTCCCCACTGTAAAAAATCAATAAAATATATTAAAAAATAAATAAATTCAAAGCAAGCAGATGGAAGGAAATAAAAGTTAGAGAGAGGGAAAAAAAAAAAAAAATGAATAGAAAAACAACAGGAATCGATGCAACAAAGTTGTTTCTTTGCAGAGCAACAGGATTTACAAACCTTTAGCTAGCTTGTCTAAAAAGAGAAAAGGACCAAATTGCTAAAAGCAGTGTGAAAATGTAGACAATAAGGGGAGGGGGGAGAACAATGGGTAAGTGCCCAAAAGAAGAAGATGCACCAAACTTAATGGCTGTTGCCTACCCAGCAGCGTGGCTCAGTGGTTAAACATCAACTTATGAACCGGTGGCAGGGCACCTGCCTGGGTTTCAGGCTCCATCCCCAGTAGGAGGCAGGTGGCAGCCAAATGATTCTCATCATTGATGTTTCTCTCTCTCCCTCCCGCTTCCTCTCTGAAATCAATAAAAATATATTATTAAAAACCCACAAAAGTTAACGGCTGTTAACTCTGGGGGCGGGAGGGATGAAGTTGACTTGCCCTTGTACTTTTTGCTCTATATGGTTTTGTGTCATTTGATTCTTTTAAAAACTAAACTATTTGTAAATCAGGTTGAAAACAGTATTTAAAAAAAAATTTCCAAAATGATCCTGTGTATGTAGCTTGGGAGTGTCTGCAAAACTGCGCCACCAGGTCACTTGCTCCCGTGAGAGGCCTGCAATGTTCGCAGCTACAATCCCGGTACCAAGTCCTCCTCCAAGAGGGGCTTCTGGGAAGACTATAGGACAAAGATGGAAAAGCACGGAGACAGAGAGTTAAAGACATTTTTCTAACGCCCATGTAGTCGCATCCAATGGTTTTCCATGTCCAGTAGTATCCACAGATGTAGAAATATGTGTGTGCATGTACTTGTATGTGTGTTGTTGTTGCTTAGATAAGTTTCCAGGAATATTTAGTAGTGGAAATACAAACCCATAATTCATTCTGCCCCTGCCCCCGCCGGCACCCCCCCAACACATGAAAAAAGGTAAATGAGATGTTAAGACTGGGCCCCTGTCAAAGAAGGGTGATTTAAAGCACTTATCTGGAGCAGGCAGGCAGTCTTTTAAGTCTAAAATGGAATCATCTGTTTAGGAAGCACTTCAAGCACAGGTCTTTATTACCAGAGCCGTGGCGTCTCACTAGACTCATTTCCAGCCACATTTAAACAAGGAAACCATGAACACTGAACTAGTCTTATTCTAAGACATAACAGACTAGACGGTTCTAGTTACCTACCACAACCAAACAGCAGCTAGCCGCTAAGGCCCACTGGGCTTCAGAGTTGTTTGGACTGAACTGGGGGGGTCTAAAGGCCACCTAGATTTCCTGATTAAAAGGAACCTAGATTGTGACAATGATGTTCCCAAGGATTTTGGCAGAGTGGACAAGTGTCTTTAAATAATTCAGGCTCCAAAAGTGCTAAATACTTGCTTATAAAACAACTGAGGACGACACAACAGGAAATTACTACTCACTCCGAGCAGCTGTTACGCAGTGGAAATAAATGTGACTCAGCGTCTGGGAAACAGCTCTTACCTGCTTGAGACGTCAAAACAGACCCTGATAGAAGCCAACCTACTTAAAAACTGTCAAAAAGTGCCACGATGAAAACCAAAAGGTAATTTGGAGAGAAATATTTACAACACAGTTACTATCTGAACATATAAATCTAAAGGAAAACGATGAATAGCCTGGGTCATCTGCTCCTCTTACTGCTCAGCATCCCTTTCCTTCATTAACCAAACCTTCCCCACATCACCAGGCACTCAAGGTGGGCCTACTGGATTGGCCACATAACCCACTGCAAATGGCAAATTGATACCTGACCAAAAAATGTACTCGGTACCACAGAAATAAAATATAAATGAAGACATCATTTCCCACCTGTTAGTTGGGCGATTCTTCCCATTTGCGTTTTCTAAACAATGCTGAGGATTGGTAAAGGGGTGCATTACCAGTGCATGCTAAATCACTAAGCGAGAGGCTGTTGGAACAGGGAAAAGCCTGTGTTTACAAGAGTTCTGGTGATCATATCTCAACCAGCATCATTAAGGATGGTTCAGGTGCCCCCTGATGTGATTCATGAAGCACACAGCATCTCCTATGAAGAAGGATTCTTACCAGATAGAATCAACCCTGCAGACCTAACCCAGTTTGTAGGAAGCACAGGAGGTTGAGGAATGAATTAACACTCAGGGAAACAGGAATCCAAGATGTAGAGCACATGTGTCAAACACAAGGCCCTCGGGCCAAATCCGTCCCGCCAGGCCTTGCAATGTGGCCCGCACCGCACTGTCATCACTGCACTCCGCTGCGTTTCCATCACAATGACAGTTTATGACTGTTCAGTAAACCATTCGGCCCGCGATTTAGGCTGGATTTTAGATTTTGACCCCTTCTCTGACTGAGTTCGACACCCCTAATGTTGAGCATTGTAGTAAAAAAAGTTTTTTGTTGTTGTTGTTGTTGTTCTAGAATAAGATTCGGGACCTAACAGCTAAATGTAATGCATGAAATGACTGCATTCTAGTTCAGAAACGTAAACTATAACACCTTTGTGGGGACAATGGCAGAAATTTGAATATGGACTAAGCATTAGATGTTGAGAAATGTTCTTAGATGACATAGGGTATTGTGGTTGTGGAGTAAACCATAACTCAGCATAAATATGTACATGCATGCATTTAAATAAAGAAAGTAAGGTAAAATGTTATTGAATCTGCTCAAGTAGTTTGCTTCAGGGATGGTATGGAAGCATTCTTTATAATATCCCCAATTAGAAATAACCTCAAAGTCTAACAAGGGGGTTGGTTAAAACTGGTACAACCACACATGGACTGCTACCAAAAACTTGTAATAAACAAGTTATGACACAAAGTTTTTGTGAAAAAGATGAGAACTCAGATGAGTTTGTATAACCCATCTTTCAAAAGATCTCTTCCCTGTACTTCATCTGGACTAAAACACTCCCTTTGCCCAACTGGCCTTTGCATACTTCCTGGTTATTGCCAGCTTAATGCAAGCTTGCCCAGGCTGGGTCCCCGTTTGTTCACCAGAAGTCACCCTAATGTGAGGAAGAACAAAAGTAAAAGGGAAGAGATGGACAGCGAGGTCTTTCTCAGTGCTCAGAGGTGGAGGATCAGAGGTTGGGATGTTGTGGAGCAGTGATGGGGAGGAAGCTAAAGGCTGTTTCTGAGTGTGTATGCCAGGCACGATGCTAAGTATTCTTCATAGACCACCCAATGCAATCCTTACTTTTACGTGGTAGATACCAGATAAACAGTCTGTAAAACAAAAGACCCAGGTAGGTCACATAGCAAGCTGGAAAGCCAGAACTCAAGTTCAGGAAGTTAGGGCCTTTCTGATTTCATAAAACCATTGAGGTAGAATATTTCCTTCAGAGGCCAAGGGAGGAAAGACAGATGGCCTTTAGAATAAAAAAATAATTTTAAAAATTGATTTCAGAGAGGAAGGGAGAGGGAGAGAGAAACGTCCATGATGAGAAAGAATCATGGGTTGGCTGCCTCCTGCATGCCCCCCACTGGAGATGGAGCCAGCAACCCGGGCATGTGCACTGGCTGGAATTAAACTGTGAGCTCCTGGTTCATATGTCGACATGCAACCACTGAGCCATGCCGGCTAGATTCTTCTCCACACTAGCATTCTACAAATCGGTCTGCCAGCAGACAAATGGAAAACAGGCAAACTTGGTCCCTAGGTGCACCTGACAGTAGATGTTAGGATAAAAAGCCACACTTGTGATATCCAGCTAATTTACGTGTGATTAAGATCTCGAAAATAACAGAAGGATGAGCCACACTATTCCCGCACGTTTCCCATTTTAACTATAAACACATATCGCGAACGAGGGTACATTATTTCATGTGGACTATTCTTGGCTATAAATGATATTAAACATAACGATGTTAGCAATTTTTTTATTCAGACAAAATGAAAGCATGATTCAGCAATGATTTTCTCTAAATTTTTATTAATTTTTTTTTTTTTTACAGCTCGATCCTCTTGTGAAAAGGAATTTGAAGGTGAACAAATCAATTACACTTTTTTTTTAACAGCAATTAATCCTCATTACAGAGAACAAATAAAAGATCTGTGGCACATTCTCTTTGGAAAGATCTTTTGCAATTTTTTCTTCTAAAAAAGAAAGCAAACTTTAATCCGCACAGATCGTGTGTCTCTTTCAAAGGACTATACAAGGCAGCTAAATTTTATTCACAAAAGCCCCAGGTTGCAGTTTCATTGCTAAAGGAGATAAAATATACGGAGTCCCTTTATCTGTGGTTGCACATCTTCCCATTGAGAGCATCGCTGCTTCCCCATCCTACATACAAGTCACCGAATGGACTACATAGCTGGCACATTATTCCACAATAATTAAAGAAAAACACACATATTATTTTAGAGATAGGTCAGTGACCTTCATTTATCAACTGGACAATTTATTTATTTTTAAAACAATTTTAATAATACCAAGATTTGACTTTACTCTAAAGTTATAAGAAAGCAAAAAATATAATATAATATAATATATAATGGTAATAAATAAAAAAAAGGCAACCCTGCACAGGTATCATCCAAACGTAATCACATTCAGGAAAAAAAAAAATTAAAACAAGATTTGGGACACACGCACACACGCGCACACACACACACACACACACTCTGACATGAACAGTGTATACTTGTTATCCGAGGGGGATGTGCAGTAATGTTAACAATACATGTGGACGGCCTGAACAAAAGGCGAAGTTAATACTGCCCGTGTTAAGCATCGCTTAAACAGCTACATTTAAGCAAAGCAAATGTCTCCCTTAGGCCAGCCACTCCCTGCCTGAGTGCGGCCTGGCCAGCCTCGCTGTCAGTGGTCTTTCTCCCTTGTCCCCCCAGGCCCACAGAGCACCCCCAGGTTCACAGAGAGCTGTATGTCTCCCTCCTGCCCGCCCTCTTGGGCACAGAAGTAGAGGCACTTCTCTAGCCATCGCAGTACCCGCCCATACCTGGCACCCAGCGGAACAGCATCTCGGTTGGTGTTTCTCCTGGACAACAGGAAATGCACAGCCACCTTAAGAAAGGTGGTAAGTGGTGTTTGTCAATCATCTTCAGTGAAAAATAAGGAACAGGGCCAGTGGTCACAATTCATTCTGTCACTGAGAAACCCACACACCTAGATTGCACATTTGAGATTTATACGGTAGGAATACCACTCGCACTCGCAATGTTTGGAGGAAAGTCCCTAACACCATGCTATCCTGCCACTCCACCTCCCGCAAATGACAAAGAAAAAAAAAGGAAAAAAAAAAGGCTCAGGAAAAACCTTGCATCGGTAGATTCTAGATAGGACCAAAAACAAAGAGGCAGCCCACTGGAGACGGGAAAGGAGCAAGCTCCACCATCACTGACACGCTCACAGCCATTGCGTGACTCACTTCCCAGTCTTGATGTCTGTGTTTCTAAAAGAAGCCCGAATATTCTTGCAAGACCAAAATACTGCTCATCAGTGGTAAAGAGTGTAATGGATGAAGGGGCAAAGTTTTTAAAGGTTTTGTGTAGTGTCTGGGGAAATGAATCCTTAAGAAAAAGGCAGACTCTGTGGTGAGTGGCAGGGAATCAAGCCTAATTTGATTCATTTACCTTAAGATGAACCAACATACCTCCAACTTCATGAAGCAGAAGAGCCAAGACCCACATAACATCTCAAAAGCCATGGCAAACCAAATACAGCGTTATTCCAAAATTAGGTGTGGTCAACAAAGGCACAATAAATATCTCCAATTCAACCAGCTTCTTATTCTTTGTACACACACACACACACACACACACACACACCTCCTTTCATCTATCAGAGCTTAAGAGGTTTTTTTATAGCTAAAAATTATTGAACAAGAATCATAATAAAATAGTAGGCTCCTGATCTGACTAACATTAATATTTAAGGTACCGATTAAGGCAAGTTTTCTGTCAGAAGGGGGTAGTTTTTAGCTTTTAAATATCCTGAGATCTGGAATTAAAGGATATAGAACAAGGGAGGTAAGTGTGATCCAATTTGTCTAAGGGAAATAGCTAAACATTTTGGTCAAAACATCTATAAAATAAAGGTTCTCTTGTTCAAAGAAATCAAGATGCTTTCTTTCCCATTCAATTGTGATTCAATCAGATTATCAGTAAGTCCTTCTCCCGCTGCAGTTCCAGTCCTGGTAATAGGCCTGCGGGACCCCGACTCTTCACCACGGCTGGTGCCCACACTTCCACATTCTGAACCCAGGGCCACATGGTGGAGCTCAGTGAAGGGGTTTCCGTTATTTAGCAGGGCCCTGAGCCTGGCTGAAACCTCAAGGTCAGCCATCCTCTCCAGACAGGGCAGAAACAGTCATCATTTTTACAAGGTAAAGTTCTTCCGCTTCCTAATGAAGACAGGAAGCTGTAGCGCCAGAGGCAAGACTTCACTCAACCTTCGCTCGGGACGTTCTGTTTGCCTCGCTGTGAAGCGCGCAGTGTGACTGTTATAAGAACTTCACAGGTGCAAAGGCTTCATTTCAGACCCAGTCCTTTCAACTGTCTACCGCAGTACAAACTTTGCCTTTTGGAATGTAAGCGTGCAGCAGAAAGTGCAAATGTTCTACAAAGCCTCCTGACTTCTCTCTACATCCGTAACAGCCGAAGGACTGAGGAGCATGAAGGGTCCACCCTGTACCTACTCAGCCCCCGATCCAAACTAGCGGGTGCCATCCCCTCAGACCTCGCGGCGGTCCGAGGACCACCGGTTGGCGACCACTGATCTAAACAGTCCAAACTGATCTCTTCAAAGTCATTTGTTTTTCAAGGGACAAACACAATTTGAATACCAAGGTCAGGGGAAAATCCCCGCAAAGAATAAGGCCACGACACAGCAAGCACGGGCTGACAGATCACATGGGAAACTCCCCAGTCCGGGGAGCTGGCGGCGTGCTGACAGACACACACCCAGCCGTCTGCACAGACAGAACCTGCCCCTCCAAACGGCCCGAGAGCGGTGCGGGGAGGGGCAGGACCGGCCACGGGGGGAAAAGATGATGTGAAATAATGACATACGCCTGATTCTGGGACCTTGCCTCCCACATGGAAGACAAGGACACACAATGTCACAGCACACAACCTACCAGGCAATTACTGCTCCCTTAACAACAGGGTGCTTTCCAAATGAGCCATTTAAAAAGGGCCAAGGCTTTACTTCAGGACATCAAGGCCACACATGAAGTTCCCATGCTCAGACATTACTGCTGCTGCTAACCCTCGGGCTTTAACCTAAACACGAAGCAGGTTCGTGGTGACAAAACAACGGGCTGGGTAGACAGTAAGGAACAGGCACACGCTTCACACCGCAAGTCAGGGCCCCCATCGTCCGCACACCCCTTCCTGCGTCGGCCAGTTACCATGCAAGCTCCTACAGACATCCTGCGGACCTTATTCCTCAGTATAAATAAAGGTGGCATCCACTCCCTTCGTCACTCATAAATAAATAGGAAAATGTCAAACATGCCCGGGAGGAGACAACAGGTAGAGGGGCAGGATGGGAGAAAAGCCAACGGTAGAAAGAGCACCCCTCAGTTTTAATGTGTGTAGATTCCACCTCTAGAAGGGATAACAAGAACGGGCTTTTAAAAAACACTGCACTCCAAATAATGCTTCCAATAATAGCCTGCCGAGCGTCTGCAGTAAAGAAAATCTGTGCTTACGGGTAAGTGGGAGCTCGGACGCGTTCTCTCGTTCCGGGTCACTCCCGCACCGGTGCGGGCCGGGCGGTGGGGAGGCGCCGCTCCCCCTCAGCCCCGCACACCGAGCCGGCGAGGACACGGAGGGAAGGCCGGGGCGCTTTTCCTAAGTCTCATTAACCCCCCCGATCTCCACCTCCTTTCAGGGAGTACATTTCCCCTGGACAACTAAGGGCTCTGAAAGGCTAGTTTTGCTATAAATATAAAATAATTCGCAGCAGAAAAATATAGCCTCTTTAGTAGATTTCATTTGTCTTTGTTCACTGACCAAACAGAGTTGGCTATAGACAGCATGAGTTACCGCATGGCTGTAGACCACAGCCCAGCACCTCCAATCCCAGCTCTACTGAAACAAAAATGGGAAAGCCCTTCAGCCAGCTGGTCCTGTGGAGGTGTCGGTACCCTCTTCCCCAGGGTGGGAAATCCCAAACGTGGTCGCAGCCGCCTGCCTGAGGGTGATGAGGGGTGGGAAGGACAGCCGTCCGCCTGCTGCCCATGCTGTGTCCTCCTTCTCCCACGGCGCCCAGCCGTCAACGCCAACCCGGCCACGAAGGCACCGAGCTGGTGAGCGTGCAGTACTTCGGGCGACTGGGGGAAGAGGGCGCTCCAATTCTTTAGATTATGACAATACTTGGTATTATCACAGCAACTGTGCGCGGGCAGGAAGTGGGGTATATCGAGTCCTTCACAATTTCGGTTTTATAGATGACTGTTAGAATTTACAAAACAAATTATTTCCCAAAAAAACCGAAAAGAAAAATCATCCACAAAACCCTACACCAAAATTCACTGTTAAAAACATTTCCTGCTGGGAATGGACTTAGTGTGGCTGCTGAGATGACGTGAATTTGCTTCTCCTCGATTCATTTGCAACTCGCATCCTGCTGGTTAAGAAAATACGGAAATGTTTCTAGACCACGCATATACCCCTTTTAGGCTACATTGCACTCTGTCCTTCAGTTAGGAAAGGCGGAGATCATCTCTGAAGCCAGCCTCCTCGCTCCTCCTTCTGCAGAACCATGGTGCCCGGCCAATGACCGCACAATTCTTGAGAGTTTAAGAGGACAAATGACCTGGCCTTCTCAGGCGCTTCTCTTCTCAAGTTTTGTCCTGAGACAAATGTCTGGACTGTTTTTGAGGCTTCCCATGTGCAAAATAGTTCCCAAGGCATCAGATCAACCTGGGCCTCAGTTAGGGTGCTCTGTTTCCTTGTTTCAGCCACTGGAAACCCTGCCTCGTGTAGTGCACCAGGTCCGCCAAGCTGCTGTTGAGGGCCAAGGTGCACACGCTTGTGCTGAGCTGAGCAAAAAACTCTGCAGAGGAAACAAAACCACAACCACGTAAACACACTCGCATGCACGAGAACAAAGAGTCAACTGTTTGAGTTGGTTCCAGAAATGATCCCCAAAATAGCATGTACTTCAGCTCTCACAGTAAAACATCACCATCGAGTGTAATGGCCGCTCATTCTCCACATTGCCCCACTAGCCTGGAAGGGTAGGCCCTGGGTTCTGTTTTAGGGTTGGATCCATAATGCCCAGCACTGGAGAACACCCAATTAATATTTTGGATCAATAGAAGCATTAAAAAAACACAACATGTTTAAAAAGCATCTTTAGCTCTGTTTTGGCTCAGTCGATAGAGCGTCGGTCTGTGGACTCAAGGGTCCCAGGTTCAATTCCGGTCAAGGGCATATACCTTGCTTGTGGGCACATACCCAGTAGGGGTGTGCAGGAGACAGCTGATCAATGGTTCTCTCTCATCAATGTTTCTAACTCTCTATCCTTCAACCTTCCTCTCTGTAAAAACAAACAAACAAAAACCCAATAATATATATATATTTTTAAAAAGCATCTTCAGTTTGCTAAGAAATTAAGTTCTAAGAGGCTGTGAGGGAATTCAGTGGCCACAGCCAGGAAAAACTATGGGATGGCACAGACCGGACATTTCCATGTAAGCATCAGAGTGGACAGTGGCGCGGCACGCACAGTTCCTCTACAGCATGCCCCACCGACTCCCAGTCCTCGGGTTTCCCCAAAGCCTTCGTCTCACACAAGTTTCAAGAGGCTTACTTATGCCACATTGCCTGTGCTGTCGCTAACCATCTCTCGTCACACTCTGAGAACACACGTTAAGCCCGGTACTTAGGCTGTGCTTCCTCACACCTCGCACTGGCTGTGCCCAGGGACAGTCATGCCCCTCCTTCTCCACTTCCCTGGCCCTTGTGCTGCCATCTAATCCAGGCTGAAATGGCAGCACCAGGACTTCCGAAGGGCAAGGTGCTGACGCCACTTCCAATTCAATTTTGCTAAGATCTGGCAACATAAATTTAGCTCCATGCTTTGGGGCTCAGAGAAGAACTGGGCCTAGGCTATGAAGTGGAATGGAGAGAATGTGAGCAGTGAACAAGTACAAAAAAAATGAACCCAACCTATACACAACACGATTCCCACCATGCCCCAGAAATTACCACCACAGAGCCGCTTACCTTTATTCTTCCTCGTGAGGACCTCGGCCTGTTCCCACAGATCGACGGCGGCAAAGATGTGGGAAGTGATGGTGATGTAGGAAGATGTCATGTTCTGGATGCTGGCGGGGATCCCGCCGCCCCCCACACTGCCAGCGCCAGCCTGGGAGCCCACGGAGCCGACAGAAGGCATCGGAGAGCGAGGCGACGGTGCGCCTGTGCTTCTGGAAGGTGGAAGACCAGAGAACTGGTGAATCACTAAACCCGCAAGTGACAGATTTCTTGCCTCTGGAACCGTAGGCCAAGACACAAAGTTTCAGGGTGTCCCAGCCAAAATGACAGTCATTTCTTTAAGGTCACAGAGACATCCTTCGCCTTTAGTAGGAGTTTGGGAATTTGTAAAACACAGGGAGATGGGACCCACCAAACGGATGGAGGCCAGGTGTTCTCACGAGATGCAGAATGAGGCGGGCAGGTCTGTATTCTGAACCTGCTTCCCCATGCCGTGCACAGTGTCCATTCCCTAGGCCTGAGTCCTTTCCTCCCCACCCCACCCACTATTCCTGGGAAGACAACGCTGCCCATGAACCTGGTCTTTATCTCTTTATCTCTTACGCAGTCTCTTTCACTGGCTCAGGGACCATGGACGGAGCACCTGCTGTGCCTGGTGTTCTTCCAGATTGGTGGGTACACCACGACTTGCTATCTGTCACTGACCTTGATTCTTTGCATTCATTTATTAACTTATCTATTGCATTTCTCACATTCCACACTTTTCTGTTTATTCCTTTTCCTGGGTCAAGGCACATTGAAGGCAGGGACCATGTCTTACTAATCTTTGCATTTGTAGTCCTTAGCAGAGTAGGTGCTAAGAGCAGACCCTGGAGAAATATCTGCTGAATCAATGAATGGCTGTAGTACCCCTATGAGGAGACCAGGGAGTGTCATGTGCCAGGAGATTCGTGATGTTCTCTCTACTGTCCCCTCTCGACTGAATCCCTGCACATGCAAGTTAACAAGCGCTTTGAGTGGGTCAATGAGAAACACAAGTGTAGTCACTTCGACCTCACAGATAGAAGCCGGGAAGATGTCAGCAGCAGTGACCGCATGCTGTGCCCCCCCTGTCCCCTGAGCTGCTGGAGCCCTAATGCCCCCGCTGAATGGCATTCATAGGACGGGAGTGGGAGCACCGTGAGGGCAGTGAGTCTCATCTGCTCTGTTTACTGCTGTGTCCCCTGCACCTACAGCAGGCTTGGCACAAAGAAGGTGCTCACTGGCTGGACAAATAGGAAGAGTTACCTCAGATAATGAGCCTGGCCATGCATGAGCTTAGAATGCCACCTCAGAGGTGGGAGTCATGAAAATCTCAGAGGCAGGAAGTAACTTCTCAATCAGGACTTTTTTTTTTTTTTTTTTTAAGAGAGAGGCCACGTGGGAATCTCTTCCTTTGAGTGTGCAGGAAATGGGACAGTCTTAAAATTGTAAAGCCTCTCAGAACTGGGAAACTTCAAGGAGTATAACCAAATTAAAAACACAGGCAGTCCTCAGGTTACGTGGGAGATCCGTTCCTACGGCGTGACGTAATGCCATTTTGGCCGTCAGTCGGAAACCACCTCCATAAGCACCTACGTCACTCACATGGAGCACATACACAGCAGCAATGAAGTGAAGCAGTAAAAAATATTTAAAAGAAAGATAACAATTCCGGACCTTTACTTGTGACAAATAAATAATAAAAAACATAAAGCACATATGTACATACATAGAAATGAGGGAACGTACATATATATAAATACTATTATATATATGGTGACATAACCATGAAATGATGTAAGTCAAGCCCGATGTAACCCGAGGACTGCCTGTACTAGGCAAGTGCTACAGGGAAGAAAATTCTATCTTCAGTTGCACAAGGATTGGTTTTCAGTATCTTATGGCACAGGTGAACAGCTTCAGTTCAAAAAGTGGGGGGAAATTTTAACTAGAGACAATCATGTTCGTCCTTAATATCACTGCTATGGGTCCTGGGAAAGGCTGAGGGCATATATTTCTGGAAAGTTCTTATTCACTGAAATTCCAAGGTAACATGTCCAGAGGGACAAGGGACATTGGCTGGTTCTCCTGGCTTTGCCTCTAGGTGTGTTGTGGTGTTAGGCATGCCTACATACCCTCGCCCCCCCATTTTGTGGGGTTAGACATGCCCAAAGATCCTCTCAATTTTGGCCCTATAGTTTCTACAATTATCTTTTTATGTTACCCAATCAGCAAACATCTTGATTTAAATTATTCCTCAAAAAGTAGAAATAAGCAAATGATCTAGTTAAGGAGAAAACCAGCATATAGATGCATACAACTTTCAAAAAGGCAAAGTCAGATTTACACACAAATGGTTGCAAAAGCAAGAGGCAAATAATAAGACAATACCGGTAACTGTAAGTTAGATGTATCATTACCTTGCAATGCATGGAGAAGGTGCCTGGGTAACTTTGGGAGAACTCTGGAAGTGATCATTAAGAGCACGAGAATACTTTATTGCTCTCTCCTTTTTACAACGAAACATTGCCATGTTCAAAATGGACTGACAACGCATGCTGTGAACATAAACAGGTGGACGTCAGACAGCCATCGTACCCTTTACAACCTAAAGAAGACTCTGGGCTTCATCTACATGAGGAAGGGTATTGTAAACATCTTACTACATTCTTCAGTCAGCAGAAACACACAAACATACAAGGGTATCATTTGAGCCACCAGATCAAAGCATTACTGAGTTATTAGTATGGCAGTAGGTACCATTTCATAAAACTTATCAGTGGGGTTAACCCCTTGACCTTAGTATTTTATTGATCTCCTTTCACTGTAATTTTCATGCTAAGCAAAAATTTCAAAATCTTTTTTTGTACCAATAAAAGATAGAAAAGCAAAAAAAAAAAAAAAAAAAAAAAAAAAAAAGGAAGTGTGATACTATGTAACACAGAAAAAGTACTCACCATAAAACAGCAAATATTTTCTCTTGTGTTGGTGCTGTGGGGTCTGAGAAGGATTTTAATGACATGATGGATCTATAGGGAAGTATAAAAATAGATCAGGTTAAACAAAAACAATTGGAAAATCCCTGACACAAAGACATCTCATTATGTCTGTCTCGGTTTTATATTGATTTTTCCTGAAGCCGTTAAGCCGAGAGCAAGGCAGAAAAAATGAGGCTTTAGAGCAACAATCCAGGCCACTCAGAAAACTAGGTGAGGACACGTCTCTTCTCCGGCCGTCCACCTGCTTGACTCCAAGTAGACGTGTGTCCTGACTGAGTCCCTTGTTGAAATGCAGATAATAAAGACAGGAGCTTAAACTGAGACGAGAGGGCGTCTGATAAGAAAGCCAAACTGGAAAAACCAACCTCTCCCTGAAAGGTCTGGCATTTCACGGGCACTTGGCAAATGATGGGGCTGGCTCTGGTTCTAGCATTCATCTAGACTACAATTTTAGTTCAGGACAAGAAAAACATTTGCAGATCAGTAACTTTTTTAAGGCGCCCCTTTATTAAGCTGTCTTTATACTAGGTTCAAGTGGATGATGGCAATAAAGGTGAGGAAAGAGAAGTACTTAAGAGGATGGCAACATGACTGGGCACTTACTTAATGAGGTCTTCGGTTTCAGAGTACACCGAGAAGGCCGACTTGGACGTGGACTTGGACACTGGGCTTTCAGACTCCATGGCAATCCCACACTCAATGAAGGACAAGACGGCTTCCAAGTACTTAAAAGCTTTCCCAACCTTGTCCGTCTGTGGAAGAACAGGTCATTGTTAGGACTAAGACAGCCTTTTATTTAGCTTCTCACCACATTCTTCACTGTAATATCCCTCCATGGTCAGAGTCTAGTTATGGCTACAGAGAAGTGTGAGAGCAAACCACACTTCTAAACAGGGCTAAAAGCCTGTCGGGTCTGACCTACTAAAAATGTTCTTTTAGTAGGAAAACAAAATTCAGTAGGAAAAAGAAAAAGAAAACAATTTTGTGTTAGGATGATGCCCTCACAACCTTAAAGCGCATATTCAAACTAAGGCAATGAATCTATAGTCCCTTTGTTATTAAATGTGTCCCTAATTACTCATTACATAATTTTCCTGAGGAAGAAAATTTTCTACACTTCTAGGATAATGCAGACACAATTTCTTTGTATGTGTTGAAGTTTTACCTTACAATAAGTAGAAAACGTTATGTTTTAGGAGCATCTTAGATATAATGTCAAACAATAATCGTTTCATGTATCTTAAAGCCCAACAGGTGGCTGACTCTCCTTTGCAAGTCGGGGCTAAGTGCATGCGGCTATCCTCTGGGCCAACAGGGATAAAACCCAGTCTCCCTCTCTCACTCCTTTTTAAATTGGATAAAACTGACTTTACTTTTTTATCTAAAAAATCTTTATTGTTGATCCAAGAGTCTCTTAAAGGGAATATAAATGAAATCGGATATTGGTGACTACACATTTTGTCACAACACTTCTTACTGAGTGCAACACAGCCAAATCAGCTAAGACCGTGGTAAGCACACCTCTCTTGACACACGGCAACTGGTTAACACATTTGCAAATTCATAGTTTTTGCTAATGCTTTCAATTTGATAATGTGGGATATAAAAAGATAGTGACATCAGCAAATAAAGATGGTATGTGGGGCTGATAATTCCATAAGGCTAATGATGCACATTTATTCCACCTGTGATAGGCTGCAAGCGTCCTGATAGTGTTAAAGTGGTAGAGGTCTAATATCTTTATCACAATGAATATAATGTAGAAGTGAAATGCACTCCTTTCTATTCAGTTGTGCACTTGACTATTTGGAATGCGAAACGGACATCTTTAAGATACTGTGCAATTAAGGGAGAATATTACAAAAAGGCTGTGCATTCAGCTTTGTGTCCAAACTGGCCTACTTTGAGACTAAAATGAGACATTATTATTACAGAGGGACTCAACAGGCATAGATTGGGAATGTTCTGGGCACACTGGGATATATGGCCAACTTCTGTGGGAGAATATGTGTGTATGTACAGACTAACTGAAAAACAAAATCAAAGTTCCCTAGAGAATACTTCCTGGTTTGAATAATGAGGAAATCTAGTGCTTAAAATGCCCGATGTCCAGACAAGTTTTAGGTAACTGACAAAGTACTGATTAGTTACTACTTTTTTAAAACTCAAAAGAGTCGTACAGCCCTAGCAACAACCTGGGAATTGCTGAAAGGAAGAAGGTGGAAAAGACACCCCTGCTTGGCCCAGCCCTGGTCCTCTGACTCACACTCAGGCCATCCCATACAGGGCCACCTTAGCGACAGGGCCTCAGGGGCTTGTCTTTGACCCCTTTGTAGCACCCAGCATGGTAAGGACTCTAACATTTTGTCCCAACAAATGGGGACCAGCCCAGCCCTCCCAACCTGAGAACAGAGGCCAGTCCACAGACCAGGGCTGTGAACAGCAGGCCACAGTCTTGATGGCCACCCTGGTCAGACCCGATTCAGTGGTCTGTGGGCCTCCAGAGTGTGAGGTCAGATCTGCATGTAGGAGAATAAAGGCAACCCACGCTCTGCTGGTACAAAGTTCAACAGATGGTATGTGTCGGGCTTAGGCTTGGGGAATACATTCCATTTAACTATGACAAAGGGCACGTACTACTCAATTAGACTGCGGCAGAGATGCAAAAGCATATTTAACTGTGTATGTGATTAAAAACAAAACCTCCCTTCCAGAAAGTCCACAGCCACAGGCGGAGCTCACTTTCTAAAGCATGTTTACCAATGTGCAGTCACTGCCTTCACCTTAACTCCACCTACTGGCAATGGTCTCCTGGTCCCTCCGGTCAGTCCTTTTGGAATGACTTTAAGATCATTTTGGAATGCAAATAGGCTGCCTCACCTTTCAGAATATCTCAGAGTGAACACAAATAGTTCAACTTCCAATAGTTGGACTCATTTTTCATATCCAAAGAATTGACTGAGTGGGACAAGGGAGCCTTCGGGTATTAAATACAACACTGCCATTCACTTAGATGTAAGACTTGTGACTGGGTACTTTGTGCATTTGCCCATGACCAATTAATGGAGTCAAAGAAAAAAACTTCACTAAGAATCCCTTATCCCTCACTAAGATCCTGCTGATCCTGCTTCTGTTTGGGCCAATGACAGCATTCCCCCCCCCCCCCCCCCATATTTAGTGATGTGGAATACAGTAGAATGAGATAAAAAATATTCCATCAGAAGACATTCTACCAAGTGGATAAAGAACCAAGACTGACCATTAACTCCGCTTTTTGCTTCAACTTTTTTGCCTCCTTCATGTGGAGATCTGCTTGTCTGAAAGAGAAGGAAAGATCAGGGTAGGTCATATGAACCTAAAATTACTAGGCTGGAGCAAGATGACTGAAGGAGACTGAGATGGTGGAGGATGGGAGGAGGAGGAGGACAAAGAAAAGGGAGGAGCAAAGAAAAGGAAAGGAAAGGAGGAAGGGAAGAGGGAGGAGAAGCGGGCACATAAAGGATGAGAAGGAAGCTTACTTGTCTAGCTTCCCGGGAGGCTTCCCTGGTTTCGAGTTACCATTTGGCAAAGAAGGCACTGGAAAAGGATTTGTGGTATCTCCAGAAGATCCCTTTAAAAAAGTCATTTTACAGATCACACTCTAACATTCAGGATCACTGACCTAGACTTACCATCCCTTAAATTAGCCCAAAATAGTTCCCCCAAAAAGAAGTCTAACACTGTGAAATTTAGTTTGGCACTTTCCCAGCTACATTAACGTTTTGACTGTACTGGGACTAAAAAAGATATAGGACAAAACTGTCCATGAGAAGAGATAACCAGCAAAGCCAAATGTAACATGCACACAGGTTAACAGAAAGAGGAACTTGTACTTGAGGAAAGTGGATAATTTCCCCCCATTACAAATAAATGAAAGCACCTGAGATCAAATATTCAAACGAGGGTAAGCATTTCTTACTACGAAACACCTGACAGAAAATTAACACAAAACATCTATTTGGGTATTTCACTTCTGAATCACTTTAAGAATAAACTGACACCTAAATACTCATACTATCCCTCTAAAGAGTAGAACTTTGAACACAACCTCATTACAGCCTTATGAAAAGTGATGAGCAGCTCTGAAGTACCATCATTAGGAACTTAGCCATTGTGGGGACATAACCACATCCACCTTGGAAAACGCGGCCCCCCACGCACCTTGTGTTCTGTGGAGCTTCCGGAGCCCTTCCCCTCAGCTTTCCTGCGCTTGGGGGCGGGGGAGTCCTTATGGCTGCCCTTGGTACCACTGGCGCTTTGGGGAGAGTCCTGGCTACAGGCATGTGCTTCCCGCCGTGGCCTCTTTTGGGCGGGCTTGGCTGGCTTCTGGGAGGATGAGGACGAGGATGACACAGGGGTTGGGGGAAGCATTTCCTTCTTTGAGGGCTCCGAGGGCTTGGGTGTTCTGGAAAGGAACAGCACACAACACGAAGTTAAGGCAGAACATGAACCATGTATCTTAGCTGTTTAGTTAAAAAGTCACAAGGCTTCTGACAAAAGGCTAAGATATCACAGAGCGTGAAATCCATTGCTGTACAAGGTCACATTTCAGGGACTTTTAAAAATCCAGTCCTATCACTGAGTGATAAATGAAGTTATGTGACCCGTCTAGCTTGCAGTCCTGCCTTCTCCTGGCAAGCCAGTCTACATTAGCTACTCCCAACCTGCCCCTCTCTCTGAGAAGCAGGCAAGCCCAGCCTCAGCTTTCACTCCGACTCCTTGCTCTCGAAAATCCCTCCTACCGGGGGACATTATGCATTGTGGCACCAAGTCATTTTGTGAAGTAATTCCTTGAACAAATCAGAGAATAACAGTTACTTTTTGTAACTTTGGACAAGTCATTTCCTCTCTGTGTTCCTCAGTTTCCACTTCTGCAAAATAGGGATAACAATAGCACCTTTCTTATTTTTAATTAATGTAAAAATTCACTTAGAAATAAATTCCAGGTTTTTAGGGAATTTCCCACTATTGAAGTACAATGGATAAACCCAAGCTTGCTGCCCAATGAGCTGTTAATTCCTAGAAGGTCCGTGTGATGAAAGCAGATGGAAACAAACTCGGCGCAGCCTCAGAAGGAGCTGAACAAGTGCAGCCTTCACACATCCGACACAAGAAGATTCGCCCGCCTTCCTAGGCTGCTCCTAGTCTCTATACTCACTTCGTCTTAGAAGCTTCTTTGTGGGAGGATGACGACGACTGTGATTTAACCTCTTTCTCCAGTCTGACTTTCTTGCTATCATGGTCTCTCTCTGCTTCACCCTATGATTGTAATAAAACAAAGTAAATTGTTACAAACATAACTGTACAGGCAAAATAGGAAAAAAATACACAGCAAAGGCAGTTGAGAATAATTACTGTTGGAGAGACATCTGTCTGTACACACACAGCAGCCTTCTCAGTACCTACCCTGTGTGCGTTTTGGGTGGGGGAGGAAGGCAATCTAGAGTTGATACAGTAACCTGTGGAGAGACCAGGCTTTGCACGAGGAAGGACTGTTCTTCATACGCAGGAAGGGGAGGTGTCTAAGTAACAGCTAATAAGAATAATAGTAGACTTCATTGTAGTAGACACAGCATTGCTACTCTCCTAAGTATAAGAGAATCAATAAAACATGCAGATTCACATCAAGTAACAACCGCTAGTTTTATGAGTAAGGTTCCTCCCCTTCTTTCAAAGAACCATCCACTTATCTACACTAATTTATTGATCATAATAAAATTAGGAGTGGAGTACTTAAAGCTTAGCTTTTCTTCTAACGAAAAAAACACACAACAGTATATTGTTGAAAATGAAACAGGCTACAAAAATCCTGTTTAGATAGCTAATAGACAAAACCAGAAAGGCATAACAAGAAAGAATAATTGTTTTGGGATTCAGCTATCTTTCTCTTCCATTGATACCTGTTCTTTTATTTATTATTATTAATTTTACATCCTCACTGGAGGATATGGTTTTATTTATCTTTAAAGAGAGAGGGAAGAAGGGAACAGGGAGAGAGAGGGGGGAACAAAATAGGGGAAGAGAGAAGGAGAGGGAGAGGGAGAGGGAGAGGGAGAGGGAGAGGGAGAGGGAGAGGGAGAGGGAGAGGGAGAGGGAGAGGGAGAGGGAGAGGAGCATCAACAGGCTGCCTCCGTATGCGCCCCATGCCTAGGTATGCGCCCTGCCAGAAACTCGGACCTGCCACCTTTGGTATGCAGGACAACATTCCAACCAACTGAGCTGCCTAGTCAGGTAGATACCAGTTTTTTCTTCTTTTTAAAAAAATATTGTTTTTGCGTCTTTCTCTACATATATAGTAATATATTTTTTAAGAACTTTGACAGAAAATGAAGAATTGTAAATATAATTTTAGTGAGGGAAGAGTGATGAGAAGGGATATATATTTCCACCAAGTTAAGCACCTCAAAACATTCCTCTGTACAAGTGTGAGATAACGAAACATTAAGAGAACAAAGAATTCGTCGTGGCAAAAGTCTTCTATGTGCTTGTGCTCCCCTGTCCACACGCTCACCAAGTTTACAAAAAGTCTACATGTCAACCAGTGGCTTCACGGTGGCCTCCTGCCCACGGTCTGGGCTCAGGCAATGCCCCCTGGGAAGTGACAGTCAAGGGACTGGTGCGCGCCCTTCAGGTAATTGTGATGCACATTTAGCATTAAACTCCTCCAACTGTCAGTTCACCAAGACAGAAATCTGGGACACCACCAGCCAATCTAGGACAATCCCTTAAAAACCTGAAATCCTCTCTTAAAGCCTTAAAGGAAAAAAAAAACATTCTTCAGATTCACTAACTGCAGGAAGCCCCCATTTTCACCACTGTCACTCTCCTGTTCGCTGACCTCCTCCAAGAAAAATGAATAAATTAAGATGCGCAGGTCCAAGCTCTGCCCAGACACTGGAGCAGCGTGACCCTGCTCCAAAGAAGGGGAGGGAGCAAACACACGCACTGCTCTGGGCAGGCCGCACACAGACAGATGTGCCGAGAGGACTTCCGTTCCCCTTCCTCAGCCTCTGGGGAAACACTTCTTGACTCATTCCAGGTGGCTTCTAAAGACGCTTGTTTTTCATCCGTCCTGCACTGTCCTGCCGGCACTCCCACCCGACAGCCTGGCACCAGCAGTGCCTGACACGGCCAGTCTGAAGCCACAGTGACCTCAAAGACTTAGTGTAAAAAGGGAAATGTAACTATTTTCATGTTGACTAAGTGTTAAAGTGGTGATATTTGGATATATTTGATAAAAGAAATTACTAAAAGCGATTTAACTGGTTTTCTTTAATGTGGATGCTGGAAATTTTCAGTTTTACTTCTTAGTGGGCTGGCTGTTCTGCACTCTTCTCTAGAGGTAATCTGCACATGGTGTTCTGAACTCCCAGGTAGCCAACGCGACGGGGGAATTATTAAATGTACAGGTGAGAGAGCAAATCCGTTCCTCAGAAATAGAACCGTTCAGTAAAGAAGACTGGAGGAAAAGTATCCCTAAGAAGGAGATAGGATGTGGTATAAAAAAGCACATCCTAAAGGCACAACTGGAACAAGACAGGACATCTCGCCCAGCTGTGCCCCCGTGCCTTTGGCCTGGCGCAGAGCTCAGGAGAAAGGAAGCCTGCGGGGCTCTGCACAGCACGCGGGCCTCCACGCAAAATTCACAATGCCAACACCCGAGAGGCAGCCGAGATTTTGGAAGAGGAAAAAAAAGTTGGCAATGATGGGGTCAAGAGAGAGTTCTACTACCCCAGCACCCTTGTCATTGCTTAACTGACTGCACGCTCAGGGGCTCTGCCACTCATAGACCTTGTGGGTTCTCTCAAGTTTTAGATTAAAGGCTGCAAAGCTGGCCTTACAAGCAGTGCAAGACGGAAAACTGATCTCTGGGAAAAAATCACAGATTTTGCTAAAATACCCAGACACTGTATGTGAGGTAGTAATGTATACTTTTTGCAATGGAAGGTTTTCCTAGGCAGTTAATGACACACAGGGTAAGTTCCCAGGTAAACCATCCACACAGTTGCATCCTAAAGAACACATCAGAGCCCAGACAGGGAATGAGCATTCATTTTTGTCATTATGTTTCCCTGCTGCTTAGGACTTGCTAGCTGTAACTATAAGCACAAGTGACAGACCTTCTAGACCAACGGTTGCCAACCTTTCGGACCTCATGGGCCATCAGTGGGCCGCGGACCTTGGGTTGGCGACGGCTGTAAATCACACATGAAGTCAGATTCCTAGTGAATCAATCTTCACAAACTGGTTGTTACAACCCTGGCTTGTGCCAATCGGTGATTCAAGAGAACAGTCCCTCAGACAATCAATCAGCAGTACTGATTTCAGGCTAGCATTAAGCTTCTCGGCCTTTTGACTAAGGTCAAGCTCAGGATCAAGGCTGGCACTGACAACCGTGCTGGCGCTTCCTGGGATAATGGGCTTTATATTTGCATAAAGCAAGTTAGCAGCTGATAATATTCTGCAAACTGGGAGAGAGTTAGTCATTAAACCAAACCAAGCAAAAACCCTACTGCCCGCTTCGCTTGCTCGCCGCAGAAGAGCCGTGGATGAGGCCAGTGTTTCTGCCCAGGGTGCACTTGGAACCTGCCTTGTGCCTGGAGCAGTCCCAGCGGCTTCCCTGGAGCAGGCGCTCAGGGAGGACCTGCTCCCTGGCACGGGAGCCAGGTTTCGCAGCTGAAGGCCCGGAGCAGGCCGGCACTGCCACTTTCAGTGGACAGAGGTAGGGAGGGAGCCTTGCGCTACTGGGCGGCATGGACACGCAGACTTGAATTTCGGATGTGGGAAACAGAAGGCGAGGAATCTTTGGGGGTTTTCTAGATCAAGGAGCCACTGGGAAATGAGATGAGGGAGAAGCTCTCTCTCTCAAAGAAGAGGACTCCTCTGCCCTGTGGCTGAGCCCAGGTCAGCCTCCATTTCAGGGATCCCGCCTGAGGTTGGGGTTGGAAGGTCCCTTTCCCAGAAGGATAAGTGTCTCGGTGGTGCCGCACCTACAACAAAAGGAGGCTGCTGGCTGCCGACCTGGACAGACTGACTTGCTTGCTTTTCTTATCCTGTTGGGTCAGGCAGCCATGGATCACTGAGAGAAAGAAGCCCATAAGAGGAAGAGCTGGGAACGTGAGACCACCGTGGTTTCTGGAAGAGGATGCTGCAGGGCGGCCTGCTGCTGCCCAACCACGGGCCAACGGGCGAGGTTCCTGCATGGAGCAGGGAAATGAAGGGGCTTTTTCAGAACGGACACTAATTTGGGCAGCAGTGTTTCTAATAGGCGCGAGGAGAGTGTTCTGGGAGCGTGGCTGTGATGGGGAGAGATGAGGACATCTGAAAGAGAAACTGAAGTGGGGTAGGGGGAGTACTGGGACAGCAAGGGTGTGAGCAATAGAGGGACAGAGCCAGCATATTATAACCACCAGAGAGCCCTGTTCTTGAACTATGACCTTGTGACTCTCTCACATGACACTATAAAAGAGACGAAAAACCCCTGGGCTGGGAGGAGTCTGCATACCTGAGCTCCATGTCCGTTTTTATCAAACAGCCACATGGTGTCAGAGCCTCTCTGATCCCACCCATAGAAGGCGCGCCGGACAAGTGACCTGTAAGGCCCCAGCACTCCAATTCTAGGATGGTCGTTTTCTCCTACAGGAGGCAAATGACCTTGGAAGCACTCGGGGCAAAGGAAGTGGAAAAGCAGTCTGCTGGGAAATTTAGGTACTCCTCTGGATGTGTCTCTGCAGGAGGTTCAACACAAAGATGACAAGCAAACGCCATGTCCAAGTCAGCTTACTGAGGAGACAGGTTTTGTACTCACTGGGACAAGTGCTACAGAAAAGGAAAATCAATCCACTTTCTTCTTTTTGGTGAGGGAATGCACAGGCATTAGAATGGCTTAAAACAGTCTTAACAAGCATCTGGTTACAATGTTCTTTTCAGAGTAGCTCACAAGCATGAAGAAATTAGATTGAAGTGGCCTCAGGAAATTATAAGGAATGACTTTTCAAACCCTTGATTTTGAAAGATAACTGAGAATATTGATCTGGAGGAACAATTAAGAAAGGGCAGTTGGAGCTTGGATAGAAGGGAAGGACTGAACAAACAACCATCCTCAAGCAGTAACAATGCACATTTCCCCATCAATTCCCATAACTTCCCTTCCCCAGAACTCAAAACCTGGATAAATGAGTGAAATTTGTTTTTAAAAAAATGTCAAAGCTTCTCGGTCAGTAAAAGAATATATAGAAAAAGGAAAAGACCTGGATGAA